TAATTTACTTCAAGGTGAAAAATTACTCCCTTTCTTTTGGTGGCACTGGGGTTTGAACTCAGGGCATCATGCTTGCAAGGTAGGTGCTCTACCACTTGAGCCATATTTCTAGCCCAGGATTATCTCTCAAATGTCTCTGAACAGTGCATGGAGTAGGCATTTAGCAAAGAGTTGAAGGAATGAAAAATGAGTAGGTAAGTTCCTTCATGTGCTGCCACATTCGTGCACACAGTCATGCTACAGGTTGGATATTGAATGTCTCCCAAAAGTCTATGTTTAAAGGATTGGACCCCAGGATGGTACCATTGGGAGGTGATGGAACCTTTGAGAGGTGGGGACTCAAAGGGGATTGTAGGACCCTAGCCTCTTGCTCTTCTTCCCCTACCCCCACCCCCATAGCAAGGCAAATGGTTTTTCTCTACCATGAATTCCCACTATGACATCTTACCTCACTACAGGCCCAAAGCAATAGGGTCAAGCAATCATGACTGGAACTTCCAAAACCATGAGCCAAAAAACTTTTTCTCTTTATAAAAGAATTATATCAGGTATTTCATAAAGTGATAGCTGACTAATAAAGTCAATTATGATCAAAACACATGAATATGATCCAGTTTTGTCAAAGCAGAAAAATAACCTCTTCTGAAGTGAGAATGTGCAGATAATTTGTAAGTAAATCTGGAGGAAGTTGAACAAGAGATTCGGGGATTTGTTCCTTGGTATATTCCCTTACTTCAAACCTCAGACATTTTCAGTTACTCAAGATTTTGTTTTTGTTTTTGTTTTGTTATTCAGCTTTTCCTGATAAAATAATTTCCTCTCTTTAAGGTTTTAAATTTCTACAGAGTTGAGGCTATAGCTCAGTAGTATAGTGCTTGCTTACCATACACAAGATCTGGGATTCAGTCCTCAGCAACACAGAAAAAAAAGAGTTCTTACAATGATCATGTAAACTCTGTTCAGATTATGAATGATGACTGTGTAGGAGGGAATGGACTAGAACTGAAGCAGGTGATTCAGACTGGGGTATGGCTATATCATCCTTATATATTGGAGTAAATGAGACTCCAAGAGAGGAAAATGTAGGAATGTGAAGGTGGGGACTGAGGAAAGGACAATCAGAAATCCCCATGACAAAAAAACCTTCATGAAACAAGCAGAGTATTATAACAAGCATGGGAATCAATTAGGTCATGTCTTCTAAACCCGCTTGAGGACAAGAGTTCATAGAAGCCACATGTTAACAGTAGAGAGTGCTGGGATTCTTCAAATCACCGAGTTCTAGGACAGCCTGGATTACATAGTGAGACCCTGCCTCAAAAAATAACTCAATAAAATAAAAGGGCTGAGGATGTGACCCGGTGGCTGCACACTTGTCTAGCATGTGCAAGGCCCTGGGTTCCATCCCTAATGCCAAAAAAAGAAAAGAAAAATCAAATGAGAGCCTTTAAACACTGGTCCCTGGTGAATCTGACAAGCAGCAAGAAAATTTAGAAAACATGGAATTGGTTTATTATAATTTTGTAATTTATTGATACTGAATTTAGAAGTCAAGGTCCATAAATTCTCATGTTCATAACCCCATCCCCCATGGGATCCTCCCTCCCTCCCTTCCTTCCTTCCTTCTTCCCTCCCTCCCTCCCTCCCTCTTCCCTCCCTTCCTTCTTTCCTCCCTTCCTTCTTCTCTCCCTCTCCCTCCTTCCCTCCCTCCTCCCTCCCTCCCTTCCCCCCTCCTACCTTCCTCCCTTCCTCCCTCCTACCTTCCTCCCTCCTTCCTCCTTCCTTCCTTCCTTCTCTCTCTCTCTTTCCTTCTTCTTTCTACATATCCATTACGTTATGTGTGGTGCTTATGATGGGAACAAGAGCACTTGTCACTGAGGAGGGAGTAGAAGGAAACAGAAGAAACAGAAGACACAGTTCCAAACTCTGCCTGTCACTACTTGATGCAATGTACAAATTTACAAACTTTCATGGATGATTTGTGTATATTACATAATCGGGCAGGTTTTGTGTGTATGCGTGTGTTTGCTTTTTGCACACATATCAAGCAATGTTGGAGAGTCAAGCTGAGTCATTTAATCCCTTAAAAAAGCTCCCTAATCCCTCTTCCAGTTGGAAATTTTAAACCTGAAAAGTTTAGGCATTTTATGTGTGCTATGCTCTTTTACTTGCACAAAGCCCAGTACTATTTTTGCTTTCTGTATTCAGCATCCTAAACCAGCATCTGGGAAAATTTGGGCTTGAATCACCTCTAATTCTAGCTCTCTGCTGATCTCCTGAACAGTGCTCTTCCTAGTTTTAGATAGACTCCTTTCTGGTTCCCATCAGTCTCTTACTATTTGAGATTGAAGCTTCTAGGGTGAAAATGAGTGTTGTGTTTTCCAGGCTGTCCACATTGTATCTGCACAATTATTAATGAATGAATGAATCTACTGAAATGGACTGGGAAAAATACATAAATATAAGCAGAGGTCTGTCATGAGGATGTATATTGAACTTGGTTTGTGTGTGTCACATGTCCCCGGGTCCTCTCAATTATTCTTGCTGAGGATGGAGCAAAGCACTAACAGATACATGATAACTCTGGCAATAAGTATTAATATAGTATTAGTATTGTAAATGCTCCTCCTCTTGATACTAGTAGGTTTCTTTTCTCTCTCTCTCTCTCTTTGAAGTACTAGGGTTCGAACTCAGGGCCTATACTTTGAACCACCCCAACAGACCTTTTTGTGATTTTTTTTCTAGGTAGGCTCTCAAAAACTATTTTCCTGGACTGGCTTTGAACTGTGATCCTCTTGATTTCTGCTCCTGAGTAGCTAGGATTACCGGTGTGAGCCACCAGCACCAGGCAGTAGTAGATTTCTTAAAGGGAAAGATCTTGCCTTTCCAGTTCCCCAATTCCCCAGTTCCATTTGCACAGGGTAGCAAATAGTAGGAATATGTAAATGTTTATCGAAATTAAATTTGATTGAGGGATGCCTAGAACCAATTATTTTCTCTGGATATGATCCAAAAAATAGGGTATTTTATCCTATCTCTTCTCTTTCAGTGCATTTTATTGATAAAAAGCAGTAACAAAAGTTTTGGTTAGTAAGTTTTTCATAAAATTATCTAGTTCACATTTTTGGGAAGTTTTTTTATCTGTCCCTCATGTGTCTTTTCCTAATATGGTAACTATGCATTTCACAGAGAGCTTTCTTGACTTGGTTTTACTATTAGTTAATTCTTCTAGAATGTCCCATTCTTGCTATCAGAAGTTGGTCATTTCTTGTTGGGAGCTGTGGTTCATTGAAGAGGGGAGTTCCTTTGAGGCCAGTAATACTTTGGAATCCCCTGGGATGGTCCGTGACAAAAGAGATTAGAATTCTGAAGTGACACCCTCTAAACCACAAGTAGTCAGTCTATCATCTGAGTCATCGTCATCACCAGGCCAGCCTGCACATTCAAAGGGGGAAGAGAAGGAAGAAATCCTAGTAAAAGTACAGTGTGCCAAATAGAAAATCATTCGGTCATGTCTGAAAATTTTGAGATGTAACCTGTTGAAACCTTGCAATACTTAAAATTACAAAGGGACCATCAACTTTCCTTCACTATATTAAATATTTTTGTTTTTATGTATTTTGTTGAGCACATATTTTTTAAAGTTGCTTCTTAATATCTTCCTTGGTGTTTTTCTTTTCTTTGCCTGCAGAGATTTTCCAAATAGTCTAAGCTTCACATTGTCTAAGGTACTTTTAAAAGATTTCTTCAGTGTAATAAGAAGATCTGAATTTATCTGAAAAAACATAAGCCATCAAATCCTTTGTCAAGGGCTGTCTATGTGAGTGATAGGTCTGACTGGGCTCAGACATCCAGCTAGACACATTAACCAATGAGGGGATTCTAGAAGGGGAGCCCATGTAACCACAGAGAGCATTAAAAACTGAGAGCTATTCAAATTAAAATCTTCCTCTCATAAATAACTTTGTAACTAGTATTCATGAGAATAGCTGAGCAACTCTGACCATTAACTGAGGACAGCCTTCTTTTACTCTTCATTCTGTCTGCTCACTATTTAACAGACAGCACTAACTCGTCTTAGCACCCACTTTTAGCTCTTGTTTCTGTCACCTGTTATAATCTTAGCTTTCATTTTTTTCATATTGTCTTCTGATCTCACAAGCAAAAGTCCTTAACATGCAAGGGAGGTAATGTAACACATAGAAGTCAGGTTTCCTGAGCCCTGGGTTGACTTGCTAACTCCGACCAGACTCCTTTGCTCCTTGCCCTTCCTCACAAAGTCATCCTTATCTCAGAAGAGTGGATGGAAAGATTTATCTTGCAGAGTTGTAGGGCTGGGGTACAGCTTGGCAGTAAAGGACTGTGTGCACGAGTTTAATCCTTAGCACCAAAAAAGAAAACGGAAAAGAAAAAAAAAAAACCCACAAAAAAGCCAGGCATGGTGACATACATGTGTGGGAGGCTGAGGCAGGAGGATTTGGAGTTTGAGGCCAGCCTAGACTGCACAATGATACTCTGTCTCCAAAAAACTAAACATACAAAAACAGAGTTGCAAAGCATAGATGGGAACACACAATGCTGAGTTCAGCCACCAGCAGAAAGTTTGTGACCTACAAGGAAAAGGACACAAGAAAGACTCCTAAGCCCCAAATTAATGTCCTGGTCCTGGTATTTACAAGTTGCCCACCTTGGGAACTCTCCTGAACTCTCTCTCCCCATCTCAATTTCCTCATTTGTAAAATAGGCAGAATCTTCATTAATCTATCTAAGTAGCTTCAAGATGATAATTTTTGTGAAAGTAATTTATGAAGACTGAGATATTAAAATGTTATTGATATGAGGCTCCTTCCTGTTTGACAGATAGCCACATCTTCTCATGCAGTGCCAGCCGTGTCCCTGAGAAGGTCAGAGTGAACGAATTTGGTTAAATTGGGTGTCTGGTCACCAGGGCTGCTTTCAACTCTGGCAAAGTGGATACTGTAACCATCAGTGACCCATTCATTGACCATAACTACATGGTCTACATGTTCCAGTATGACTCCACCCATAGCAAGTTCAATGGCACAGTGAAGGCTGAGAACAGGAAGCTTGTCATCAATGGGAGGCCATCTCCATCTTCCAGGAGCGAGATCCCTCCAACATCAAATGGGGTGATGCTGGTGCCGAGTATATCGTGGAGTCCATTGGAGTCTTCACTACCATGGAGAAGGCTGGGGCTCACTTGAAGGGTGGAGCCAGAAGGGTCATAATCTCTGCCCCTTCTGCTGATGCCCCCATGTTTGTGATGAGTGTGAACTATGAGAAGTATGACAACTCCCTGAAGATTGTCAGCAATGCCTCCTGTACCACCAACTGCCTAGCACCCTTGGCCAATGTCATCCATGACAACTTTGGCATCGTGGAAGGACTCATGATCACAGTCCATGCCATCACTGCCACCCAGAAGACTGTGGATGGCCCCTCTGGTAAACTGTGGTGCGATGGCCGTGGGGCTGCCCAAAACCTCATCCCTGTCTCCACTGGCGCTGCCAAGGCTGTGGGCAAAGTCATCCTGGAGCTAAATGGGAAGCTCACTGGCATGGCCTTCTGTGTACCCACCCCCAACGTTTCAGTGTGGAACTGACCTGCTGCCTGGAGAAAGTGACCAAATATGATGACATCAAGAAGGTGGTGAAGCAGGTGTTGGAAGGCCCCCTAAAGGGCATCCTGAGTTACACCAAGGACAAGGTTGTCTCCTGCGATTTCAACAGCGACACCCACTCTTCCACCTTTGATGCTGGGGCTGGCATTGCCCTCAGTGATCACTTTGTCAAGCTCATTTCCTGGTATGACAACAAATTTGGCTACAGCAACAAGGTGGTGGACCTCATGGTCCACATGGCCTCCAAGGAGTAAGAGCCCCTGGACCACCACTCCAGCAAGAACTCTAGAGGAAGAGAGAGGCCCTCAGCTGCTGGGGAGTCCCTGCCCCCACTCAGGCCCTCAACACACTGAGAATCTCCCCTCCTCAGTTTCGATCCCAGACGCCCTGAAGAAGGGGAGGGGCTTACAGCCCTACTTCCATCAGTACCATCAATAAAGTTCACTGCACTCCCCAAAAAATGTAATTGATATGAACAAAACGTTCTTGGAAGTTAACTTTTTCCTGTCAGGAATAGTATTTTTTTAACTGGACCTCAATGATTTCCTTTGTCAAAAGTTGTAGCCTTCCCTCCTTTTTTGAATGATTCATTTGGCGCTTGTTCTGTTCTGAGCTATCTTACAGATTTTTCTGCTTCTTCTCTTGTCACCTCAGTTCTGTTCTTATCTCTTCAAGAGTGAAGACCCAACTAAACCTGTGAGCTTTGTCCTCTGAACTCACAGGAGAGGCTGACGGGGACTTTCTCCTGGGGGCACCATGCCACAGCCAGCAAGGGCCAGGGCCATGAGTGGAACAGAGGTGGTCTCCTTAGAGAGGAGAGAAATGAGAGACCCTGATGCCAGGGAGAAATTCTCAGAGGAAGAGGAACACTGAGGGGCTTCCACAGACTTTCCCTGATTTTGGTGAAGAAGAAAGGTGAGGGAGAGGGAGTGGAAGGAAGGTGAGAGAGTACCTATCAAAGAGTTGTGTCAACTCTAAAGCATTCCCTGCTTCTATTTCCATGTGACAAGTAAAGTTTTTGAAGATCTCAGTGCCTATCACAACAACTGGTATATATTTGGCACTAAAATAATGTTGACTCTGAGATGAGTAGAAAATATTATTTTGTTAGTTTATTATTTGCTATGTAATAATAATAGAAATATAACACATAACAAAGGATAGACATAACAGCAAAATAATCACAGCGTGTGATATCTGTCACTTCATTGAACATTGAGAATGGCCTGACTAGGTAGATGCTGCCATTATACCTGTTTTAGAGATGAGAAAGGTGAGGCTTTGGAAGGAAGTTCTGGAACACCATTGTGGGGCATGGATATTAAGTAAGGAAAAAAATCAAGTAGTTATAGGGTAGAATTGAGAGTCCAGCTGAGGTAGACTGTATGAGTTGGACTCAGCACTGTCCTCCAACCTGGAGTAGCCATAGCCTAATAAAGAGGGGACATGTTTCTGAGTGGAGATAGGAAACTGAGAAGTCTGTGGTAGTTTGGTGGATACAAATGATCGCCAATGGCCTTGGAATATTTGAGATACTGCAAGCCATTGGTTGTGCTTCACCCCACCCTCTCTGGCTGAACTGCTTGGCTCCTGGCCTGTAGAATCTTAACGTCATTCAGGAAATACTGGTTGAGAAGGAGGATTCGGGAGGGGCTGCTTGGAGGCTGGTGACCGTGACAGCCCACACAACCTGCATTTGTGCAGCCCAGTTATTTGCTGACTAATGGATATAGGGACTAGAGGGGGAGGGGCATCCTTACAAAAAACAACTGGCTACCTGCGGGGAGGTGCTTGGGAAATTCATCTCCTCACATCTTGTCCACCCTCACAGGACCAGAGCAGGGCTAGGTTCTAACTCTGAAAGCAACTGCAAGAATGACTGCTCAGGGAAAGGCAGGAGATTCAGTGCCATCGTCATCGTTCTAGTACATGGGAAGGGGATCAGGTGAAGTTATGAAGCAGTAAATTCCTTTTCCCCTTAGTTACTTTGGGAAAATAAGATTTCAGTATCCTATCAAACTAGCACTTACAATTTTTGTCTTCATTCTATAAAAGCAGCTTGTTAAAATTGTGCTAGACCAAGGAGCAGTCCTGCATTCTTTTTTTTTGAGCCATTCCACCAGCCCTATTTTTGTGATTTTTTTTTTTTTCAAAATAGGACCTCTTGAACTATTTGCCTGGGCTGGCTTTGAACCATGATCCTCCTGATCTCTACCTCCTGAGTAGCTAGGATTATAGGTATGAGCCACCAGCACCCAGCTAAGGAACATTCTTGAAAGAGAGCAGGTTAAAGCAATGTCACTGGAGGGGCAGAAAAAAGGGTAGTCATGTTTGCCTGGGGGAGAACAGGTTCCCACACAGATGCTGGAGAGACCCAAATTGATTGAGGAAGCAGTTTGCATGGTGCCCTGTTGATTCTGAAGCACAATGGGGTTGAGAATGCTATTTAGGGAGCAGTGTCTGGTGTTAACATAAGAAGCTTCCTGTAGGAAAGGGTTCGATCTTCCCTTCAAGAACTGGTGCTGGTGGAAGGAAGTGTTAGGGAGGCCGACTTGGGCACCAAGGAAAGCAAGGTTGAAGACTTTGTGTTGCAGATGGAAGTGGCTGGATGGGAATGCTGACCTGGACCAGCAAGTGCTAGGGGGTAGCAGGAGGGCCAGGCACACCCTGGAGCCCCTCCCCTACACTCAAGAGTAGCTCTGCTTTCTTTCTTTTTCCTATATTGAGTTTCCCCATAACATTTTCTTTAAAGAAAGAGATCAGCTCAAAAAAAAATTTTAAAACCACTTAAGTAGTTGACCTTTAGAACTATTACCAACTCTGTAATTCTGTAGTAGTAAATATGCTTTGATGTTTTCTAAGAAATCAGGCTACTGATGGATCCATTCTTCCAAAGTCTGAGCAGGAAAAGAGAGTCCCTGAGAAGCATGGAAGGTGTGTATAGAAGAGGGAGGACTTCTCTTTGCAGAGGGACAGGGTGGAAGACACTTCACCCTTTCTAGATTTGGAACCACCCAGGAGCAGTTCTATAAAACCCAGAACCAAACCAATGAACCCCATCTCTGGGGATGGCACCAGACATAGGCGATCATGAAATGCCACAGAGTGAGAGGCACATGCTTGCTGAGAAGTACTGTGTGCGTGTGATACATTAAAGCTGAGCATGGTGTGACTTTTAAACTCGAGGTGCATCAGACGTACCTAGAAGGCTTGTTCTGATCAGATGGCTGGGCCCCACTCAGAGCTTCTGATTTAGGAGGGATGTGATCAGGCCAACAATTTGGGTTTCTGACGAGTTTTAGCTGATTCTCTTACCACTGCTCTAGCCAAAGTAATTCACTTTAGACATTGGGAAAAAAATCTCCTCACCGTGGTGTCAATTGCTTGTTGACTTGATGTGACATGATGCAGCACTTTACTTTTGTGGGCTCTCTCCCCCAAAATGCATTAGCCCAGTTTAATCATAAGCAAAATCTCAGTCATATCCCAGTTGAGGGACAACCTACAACATACCTGACCAATAATTTTCAAAAGTGTAAGATCATCAAAACCAAGGAAGGTTTAAGAAACTGTCACAGTCAAGAGGAGCTCAGGAGCTCTGACTGCTAAGTGGAATGCAACTTTCTGCATGGTGTTCTGGAGCAGGGGAAAACTGAGGAAATAACATCATGGTTGGCTTACTGGTTGTGACAAATATACCATGCTAATGTAGCATTGTTAACAATGGGGAAACTGGGTGTGGGGTAGGGAATGCTGCACTTCTACTGAATTGAAAACAATAATTCTGTAAATCTAAAACTGTTCTAAGATAGTTTATTTAACAGAAGAACTTCCTGGGGTGGGGGTGATACTGCACTCGACTGGCATGTGCAAGGCCCTATGTTGACTCCCAACACTGACCCCCCCAAAGTACAAATTTAAAAATAAAAAAAGAAGAACTTCCTGGCTGACTGTTGAAATACAAGCCTTTCTTTGTGGTAGTTATAGAGGAATCATCCTTGAAGGGCATCAAAGAAAAAAATGTCAAATAATTATGTTTTTAGGTTGAACAAAGCCTCATCAATGAATTATATAACATTTTTTATCATTTTATTTGTATGATTTTAAAATGAATTTTAAGAGATTTACTTAAAATATGTACATATAGGTATAATGTACATTATATATAATATAGATATGCACATATCTGGTAACACATGTGTATCTACATAGCCACAGCTGATATGAAAGACAAGGTAGATGATTCCTCTCCATTTATTATAATGTACCCTTGAAGTGGGAATTCAATCCTAATTAAGAAAGACACCTGTTGTAGTGACTTAATATTCTTAGAAACTTTCAACTTATTGATCATGTCTATCTGGAAACACACACAATTGTGATCATTCATGTTCTTACTCCTCCTCCTCCTCCCCCTCTTCCTCTTTCTCCTCCCTTCTTTTTTGTGTGATCTCAAGAGAATCCACTTAAGATAGTCTGAAAAAAAGGGATTTAGAGTCCTTTGTCTGGGCAATATTTAGATGATGGTTTGCATTTCACTGACTTCAAGAATGAAATCAATATAATTCCCCAACTATCTGTTCAAGTTTTAATGTATCTGTGGAACACAGTGTGTTCACAAGGGATGGGGAGGGGGACAAAGACCCAACAATTCCTTAGACATGTGTGAGTAGTCAGCCAGCATTCTCATTGTTACCCCAGCTTGGCTTTAGGTCTACTCAACCTTTTGGGTATTGGTCATTTATGGTCCCAGCACCATTCAAGACCCTAAGAAGCAAACACATCTGGTGAGAGAAATGTAATCCTAGAGCAAACTAAACACCCATGTAGGGTTACAGTGCATTGGTTTGGGATATCTTTTCCTTTGAACTAACCTAACCAAATATTTGTAGAGCATAAATGAGGGGTTAGACACCCTTCTACAGCCTGGCACTGGTCTTAATGACAGTTCTAAGGGAGAAACTTGGATACCAAATCCATATTCCATCCAGGCAGGACTCCCAGAGGATAAAACTGGAAGGCTTAATGCAAAACTTAAAATCTGAAACAAAAGACTCTTGTCACCTGGACTTTTCTTTTCAAAGGAAGAGAAGGCTTCATTCTAATGGACTCATTTCATCTCACAGAGGCATAGAAAAGGTAAGTAAGTTGTCCAAGTTCCCACATCTCAGAGAGGAGTTGGGATTCTAATCCAGAATCCCAACTGGGTTTCTGACTCCAGAGCCCATGTTGTAAGCCATTAGGTTCTCCTGCC